ATTAGCAAAGCTTTCTTTAGCTCTTTATTCATTGTCTTTTTATTTATTCTTTTTACACGATTGGCCTGGGCAGACTATGTTTTAGCTACTGCAACTTATAAATTTCGATGTTAATTAGCCAAAATTTGCCAAAATTACTATAAATTGACGGTAAAACAATTGGATCATTTAAAAATTAAACAAATTTAGGAAACCGTTTCAGTTGAACTATATTTTAATATTTTTTTAAATAATATTCGAAATGGTGAACGAGAATTACAAAGATATTGTAAAAAAGTTTAAAGAGGTCATTTTGAACGATCTTGATTTTAGTTCATCTTACCTAATCTAATTGGAAAGATTGGAGGTAATTTAATTAGCCAGTTCATTATAATCCTTTTTTATTTAAAATAAATGAATGATCGAATTTTTTACTTATTTTTTAAACTCTAATTCAAAAAGCCAATAATTTTAAAAAAGATCAATTGTTTGCCACTGATAAAAGTATTATTTTGTTAACGTGTATATACATTTCCACGCATGAATCATACATTTTCAATGCCGTATACCTAAGAAAAATTCTAAATACACTTTTTACTAGTGCGGTTTTTACTTTCTGAATTGAAATATAAGAAAAGTTTACTCGATCGATTTGAAAAATTTGCTTGAAATTCAGAAAATATATAATTTACGGTTTTGTTGTTTAGATTGATTTAGATTGGTTATTATTTAAAGAAAAGTTTTGGTAGAAATTAAAATTATCTACTGCTTAAATCATTTTAATTGATTGATTGTTTTTTTGATTGATTGATTGAATTCTTCTCTTTTCCTTCTTGTCATTTCCTTAGTTTTATCTATGATTGATAATTGTATTAATAACTCGCTCTACTATGGTCTTCCTGATTCAACACTCTATTCTTTAAGTAAAGCTTTTAACTCTGCTGCTTCTGCCCATTTCTTTTCACATCTATCTCCATATTTTGTTATCTTGCACTGGCTACCTCTAAAATACAGAAAACTTTTTAAAATTTTCACATTTATGTATAAGTCTCAATGTTAATTATTTTCTATATTTATCAGATATATTAACTGAATCTAAACGCACCGGTTTACGATCGTCTTCTTGTTCTCACTCTCTGCCTCCTTCTCTGACCACTTTTCCATCACTTACAAAGTTTAGAGCGGACCCATCCGTGTGCAAAATTCATTGAGGAGCGCTGGTAGACTAATTGATTGTTTGATTGATTGAATGATTGAATGATTGATTAATTGTTTGATTGATTAACTGATTAAATGATTGATTGATTAATTGATTGATTGATTGATGGATTGATTGATTGATTGATTGATTGGTTGATTGATTGATTGATTGATTGATTGATTGATTGATTGATTGATTGATTGATTGATTGATTGATTGATTGATTGATTGATTGATTGATTGATTGATTGATTGATTGATTGATTGATTGATTGATTGATTGATTGATTGATTGATTGATTGATTGATTGATTGATTGATTGATTGATTGATTGATTGATTGATTGATTGATTGATTGATTGATTGATTGATTGATTGATTGATTGATTGATTGATTGATTGATTGATTGATTGATTGATTGATTGATTGATTGATTGATTGATTGATTGATTGATTGATTGATTGATTGATTGATTTACAAATTTTAATTGAGGATCTTAAGCGAAAAGAATTTTACATTCATTTTTTTTTTATTTTAGAGCTTTT